GTCTACATCACGCTCGAGGACATCGACCACGTGTCCTCGGAGAAGATGACGCTGACGTTGGGGGAGTCGAAGCGCGACGCCAAGTTCACCGTCGACATGCCCGACGCGGGGCAGGAAAAGGGTGATTCAACGTCGCTTCAATGTGAGTGTTCCGCGCGCGTCCGTTCTAGAAAAAGCATCCACGCTTCGAGAGCGCTCCGAGAGATGATCGCTCGTCCAAAAATCAGCCGAAACGAGTGGAAACCGGCCGAGCTAGAAGCCTTTGAAGTTGGGAATTTCGCACTCTTGTCCTGCCCAGGCCCGACGGCCGCCGCTTCTTCACGGCTTCGGCCGCGCTCCTCAAGCGCGAGGTCCGCAACCCGAAAATCATCCGCAAGCGCGGCAAGGACACGGTCGTCTTGAAGTTCACGAAGTGCGAGGAGCGCACCTGGGGCCCTTGCTTCGAGAACTACCACGAGATCTTCCCCGCGCCGGGCCGGACCATGGCCCAGGACATCCGCGAGCGCCTCCAAAACAAGAAGGCGTCGGCGTAAGTCACCCAGGAGGCCCGTGTTAGCGCGCGCCGACGCGGCGCGTCTGGGGGAGCGCGCCGTCGGACCGGCCGTCGACGGCGAAGTCGACGAAGCACCGCTCGCAGACGTCGTACTCCGTCGCGTGGAGCACCGTCGTCTCGCCCGACGCGCACGTGTAGACCGCGCCCCGCGGCGGCACGGGCCGGTCGCACAGGTCGCAGATCACCGACGACGTGCCCCGCGCGACGTCCGCGTGGAGCAACGTCCGCGCGACGGTCTCGAGGTCGCCGCGATCGCCGACGTCCGGGAACTCCGTGCAGACCCGCAGGTAGCGCGCGAGGCCGTCCATGCGCAGCAGCGCGCCGCCGCAGACGCACCGCGGGCCCGCGTCGCCCGCGGCCGCGACCGCGAAGGCCGCCGCGGCGCCGTCGGTGCCGTGCGCGGCCCGCACGGCCGCGACGAGCTCCGCCTTCTCGAGGTACGCGCCGGGGTCGAGGCCCGACGCCGCCGCGAGCGCCTTTAGTCGTTTGACGCCGAGCCCCTTCAGGTACGCGCCGACGTCCGCCGCCGCGGGCCGCAATTCCCCGTGGTCCTCGCCGTAGCGCCGGAGCCGCCGCGTCATGAGCGGCGCGGCCTGGCCCGCGAGGCGGTTCACGACGGATTCCACGCGGTGCTGCGCGGCGTCGGCGTCCTCCGCGCCGGCCGCGCCGCCGCCGGCCGCGACGGAGAAGACGAGCGCGCCCTCGCCGCCCCGCGCGTCGGCGTCGAAGTCCACGTCGACGGCGACGCGGCACGTCGGGCAACTCGCCTGGCCCCTCGCATTGAACGACGACGCCAGGGCCCGGTCCCAGCAGCGGAAGCAGTAGGACACGGCGCAGGCGCAGGGCAGCGCGACGACGTCGCGCGCGTCGAGCGGCTCCATGCAGATGGCGCACTCGCTGCCGTCGTCGAACTCGGCCATGGGTCGCGGCGGCGCGCGGCGTCCGGCGCCGGGCGAGTGCGACGAGTCTGTCGAGTGGCAGCGTCGAGCGAACCGAGTCTGTCGAGTGGCAGCGTCTCCGCGCGCCGGCCTCGCCCCACCTTGAGCGGCGTCGAGCAGCACCTTCTCTATTGAGATTGGCATTGCCCTGCAGTTGCACTTCCCTACAGGCTTAGCAGCCGGACACGTGCGGCGCGATCGAAACGGGTGTGTAGCTTCGCCCCCCCTAGGAGGCGGCGGCGGGCCCCCCGAGGGCGGCGGCCTTGTCCTTGGCGACCTGGACCTCGACGGCGAGGGCGACGAGGTCCCGCTTGCGGACGTCGTCCACGGGCGCGCCGTCGCGCGCGAGGCGCTCGAGGAGCGCGTTCGTCTTCTTCTCGGCCATGGCCGCGTAGGACGCCGCCCGGTCCGGGACGTCGGCCGCCGGCACGAGCACGACGCTTTCGCCGCCCTCGCCCTCGAAGGCGACGTCCGCGGAATCGTCGGCCGCGGCGTGGTCCGCGTACGCGGCCCCGAGCGACGCGACGCAGGAGAGGAAGCGCGTCTCGTCCTCGAGGCTCAACTCGTCGTCGACGGACTCGTAGTAGTCGACGCAGGCGCTGAACTCGACGACGGCGTCGGACCAGCGCGCCTCGTCGACGTTCAGGCCCGCGAGCTGTTCCGCGCACCGCGCGGCGGCCGCGCCGTCGCCCGCGGCGAGGAAGATGGACCGCGCCTGGTCCACGAGCTTCCACGCGATCGCCGCGTG